GAACGCTTTTTTTATTTTTTATTTTTTTAATTGTGATACTTGAAGATAAATATATATATATTCAATCAAAGATGCATAAATACTAAAATACCAACACTATTAACTAAATTGCTTGGTTTACCAATTACAATAGCTCTTTGTATGTTTATACTTCTCAACTTAAATTATAAATTCATCTCAACAGTGAAAAACTCATTCTCAACTCAAATTACTGTTAACTTATAAGTTACTATTAAGTTTAAGTTAACAATAAACTTAAACTTAAATTTACTGTTAACTAAAATATTGTTAAGTTTACTGTTAGCTAAAATATTGTTAACTAAAATATTATTAACTTAAGTTTACTGTTTACTTAGACTTAAGTTTACCATCAACAAAAACTTAATATTAACTTAAACTTAAACTTAAGTTTACTATTAGCTTAAACTTAAACTTAAACTAAAACTTAAGTTTATTGTTAACTTACCCTTCTCAAGTTTAAGTTACTGTTGTTAACTAACTTAAATAGATATTTAAGAAGTACTCTTTACCTTGTTAGTAGTTACAGAGATCGGGGGAGCTCGAGTTGCTCGATAATGTTACAAAAGGCGCTAGGCAGACTAGGCGTTTGAGCGAGCGCCTAGCGCCTAGACCCTTGGACGTACGCCAAGGTAGCACCTAGGCTTTTAACTATTTTTAAATTATTTAATTATAATAATTGATAAAAATATGTATTAAATTCATATAAAATTTTAAAAAAAGATAGCAATCTTAGTTCCACAATAAATCATGCATACTTAGATACTAAATAGCCAAAATAATAATTAACAAGGCTAGAACCTAAGATGTTTTCTTTTTTATTTTTAATTACAATAATTGATAGTGAATGTCAACGTTATAGAAAGCTTAGATGCCGGACTGGTGTCTAGGCGAATTTTTTTCTTCATTTAAGTAGTGGTCGATGAGGTTTTGCTGAAGGTCGGAGAAGATAGTGGGGGTGTTCATATTTGGAGGTTAATGGAGTTTGGAGGACATGTAGGCTACAACACATAAAATCACAACCAAGACCTATAGGGTGCAATCCACGTAAGCAGACAATGCTCCCCTAAACGCTCGTAAAATCTAGGTGGGCAGCCTAAATACTGCCTAGACGCTAGGCGCTAGTTAGGTGGTCTAGGTACCGCCTAGGTCTAGGCGTAGGCGTACGCCTAAGCAAACTAGGCTGAGTTTTTTTAAAACAATGGGTCGATGTACTCATTAAAGTCAACATGCCACTGTATGACTGAATCATGATTTTGATAGTTGATTTCATCATAAAAGTTGACGGGCCTGTTGGAATGTGATATTTGTTCTTTAGATGTTTTGTTACATCTATTATTGGTTTCCTGTAGTACAATGGTATTTGACTTGGTAGATTTAGACAGCGCAGTTCCAGTATGCTGATTGGATCTCCAGATTCACATACTGTTCGATAAGTTTCTTGATAGATTGGGGCTTAATGGTGAACTAAGAATTCTACACTCTTCTTTGAAACTCTTTGAACCATTAGTTATAACAGGATGAGGTAATTTGTCTAAGTGATATTTGTACGTGGTTGATGTGCAATACTCATAAATGATAATTACATGAAGACATTAGACATGATAATGTACACCATCTCAAACTGTGTTATATCAGTCATATGCACTTTTTTTACGGTAGGATAATGGATATTATATGAATCCTAGCCTCAAGGTGACAATAGAGCACAAAATTATTCCAATAGTTATATTTACCCAGATGGAATTAAGATTGCTTCAGAAGATGCTTTCGAGAATCTTTTTAGTGATGTGCTTGCGTAATCTAAAATTAATCCCAGACTGATAGAAAGCATCATCTAACAAACAACCATCCTAATTAACTGTGCAGTGACCCACACTGATCTAACACATTGAATCCTTCTCTTTTATTTTGTTCAAATCCATACTGACGGACAATTGGGAGACCTAGTATATTAGGAGGCCTTAATTATCTTCTCAACTTTCCTTCTCCAGCTTTAAATGGACAATTTGATGAAAAAGACTGTTTGAAGGTCATATCATGCTTTGCACAAGTCCACAATTTATCAACTGATAAATATGATATGCATTTGTTTCTCGACTGTTATTACTTGTCATGCTCTGATCGTTTGCAATATATCTCACATGTTTCAGTCATAACAGCAACTTGTGTACATTTTAACTTCTCCATATTGAATTGAGGCTCTTGTCAACATATGTAAATCAAAATAATAAATTATCCTATTTTCAAGAAAGCCCATCATCTATGATAATTAATGGAACCGTTAGTTTTGTGATAGAGTTTAGTTCTTCAGACGTCTGGACTGACTTTCATGTATAGAATTTTAGATTAATAATATAAATATTAGATTTTTTTTCCACTTCCGAAAACTAAACTTTTCTGTATATTCTTCCTTTCAACTCCCAATCTGAAGTGCTGACATCTTTCCAGAGGTCTTCTCAAGTATGTCATAGATAAGGGATTTTGTTGAACTCTATAGATGAGGGAGTTTCTTGAACAACAGGGTACATAGATTTTTGCATCAGCCTGAGAATTGAGTTTACTAGCTCTTCTGCATGCTGAATAGCTGATTATATATTGTCCTTCAACTGTCTTCCCTTGTGGATCTTTTTACTGATATTTGTGAGGTCTGGTTGAATTTTGCTATGGTACTCAATATACGTAGGCCTGACCTAAGGAAAAATTAGAGAAATCATTTTTACCTCTTTCCATGTGATAAGAGTGGTCAAAAATTAATTAAAAACACCACCCAGCAAGTATTCTAAATATCCTAGTGAACATTCTGTCTTGTGACTTCTGTTAATTTTATGTTCAAGTCATGAAGCATGCATGAAAACTAGCACCCTCTTATCTTCATAATCTATGAATTGAGCAGTGATCTAGCTTGATTAGTTATTATATTCTGTATGAGTTTCTTACTAACGTGGACATTGTATGGTACTTTCGTCTTTTAGCAAAACGTAGATAGAAGATTAAGTTCTCATGCCTTTAGTACTAGACTGAAACGCCGTACTGAAACGTTGTTGGCATATAGGAAAATTTACATTGTGTATTTACCTTATGATTATAAGTTTAACATTCAAACTTTCAGCTTTGTTCAATTATTTCTACTCCATCCTGATCTATTGTCTATTTTCACAATTCTGAAAATATGTTTACCAATAGCTAAGGGTTGCATTATAATAGGCACTAGAGAAAAATCTAAGTGTTACCCTCTCACAGAGAATACCCCATTCTTATTACATGTACATAAGCCTTTCAACTTGTATTGTACAATCAAGTTGCATTGCATTATCTGATATTTAGATGAAACATATGGCAGCATCTATCCTTTTTGTTACTGAATTACCTTTCAAATAATATATGATAGTATATCCTCATCAAAGTAAAAATCGATGGGAGACCAGGAAAGAGATGAAGAGTACGAAGGTGAGGATACTTGAGAGGGGGAGGAAGGCTCAATAGAAGATGTAGTTGAGCTCGACGGATTTCTCACAAAAAATGGCACAATATCTTCCAGCAGCCCTTTTGAATTCTGCTCCTCTATGATGCTTAAATATGTAGTTTCGAGATCTTTTCGAAAATCTTCTTGTGGCTTATCTTCTCCAATAACCCTGCTTTGTTTTTGCTCCTCTTGCTCTGTCCTAGTTTCTGGGCTCTGTGCCTTTAGCTCCTCATTATGTTTGTCCTCTGAGCTAGGATTTTGGATCTTAGGTTTCTTTGGCATGTGAAGAGAATTTTGTGGTCGTGGTAAGAGGAAGTGGGAGTATGTGTAGTGGAGGTGGAGGCCTTCATAGGTGACGATAAGAGTCTCTGGATCTTCTGTCGATCTTTCCACTTGTTTCTTGGCGTGGCACCGAGAATTTGTGCACCTATAATAACTCCTGTTCATCAAAGAAAGGACAACAAAAGTTTCAGAAAAATAATTATTGAGGATAAATTTCATGAAAAACCTTTTTTTTTGGGGTAGAGAACGCCATGAACTTGTCCGAGATAAGCAGTAAGAAACGATTGCATTAGGTTTGACATGATGTACACTTGACTTTTGGACAATTTCCCCCTATCTACTAAATATAACTTTGATGTTTTCCTTGTCGGGTAACGTAGGCAAGAAGTAAAAAGGGTAGTTTGGACCTTTTCTTTAACTTTTAACCTTGTCGATGAGAATTTTCAATAGTTCAGAGGGATTTAGTTTAATTTCAAAAGTTCAACGTGCAAGGCCCCCAAAGTTCAGGAGTGTTTGTGAAAATTTACCTTCCGCTGATGATTTTGAGAGTTACTGATTGAATTGTATCTTTGTATGCTACCTATGTGCTTGTTTACTTTTGTAGTAAGAGTAGCATGCAATTGTAACTGCCATCATCTCAGTTACAAGAAAAGGAAAAACTTGCAAACTGCAACTTACTTCCATTATGTAGGCTTTCAACCGTCAATTGATCCAGAAGTTGTGTTCATTAGTTTGTGAGTTGTGTGTTTGCAATAAAAAACCACAAGTAGGTCTCAGACATTAATGCGGATTTAATGTGGGTTTTAAATCATGCATGCATTTAGAAATATAAGTGATTTCTAAATATATGGTGTGGAGCCTTGTGGAGTTTGTATACATTTATTATGAGTTCTACCTAAAATGATGGTTTAATTCATGTTGCAGCTGCTTGTAAACCTTATTCATTTATGGGAATTAAATGGTCTTCTTTTGTGTCAGTGAGAATCCCTAGTTTAGACAAAAGATAAGGACGTCTTAAGGCTGAGAATTTTCTTGTAGTAGCAGTTAAAGTACTAGTGCAGACCTTGTAACTTGACTGAGACACCCTTTGGTGTTTTTAAGTTTTTTTTAACCTGTACACCCTCGAAATCGGTCCTATTTGCAGATTTATCCGCCAAAGCTGATTATTAGGTAATGAGCCCTTACATTCTCTAAGCTGATTGCCTTAATCTTGGAGTGCAGAAACTGTTTAGTTTTTTTATACCCGTACACCGTGAATTTACCGTATTTGTAGATTTATCCCCAAATCTGACTATTTGGTAATTTGCACATTTATACCCCTTAAATCTACTGTCTCCCCGGATTATCCCTCTATTTGGATTTTTACCCATTACATTCACTGCTATATTGCTGTAATCTTGGAGATATGGCTAGTATTTCATAAGATACAGAAATAAGAGAAACTGGCGTGAGATAGTTTTATGTTAATGAAGAAAACAACCTTGGATTGGGACTATTTTTGATAGTTTTCTGCCCATATTTCCTCCACTTGTAACCATCATCAGCAAGTCCATTCCCTGAGCTTTTGATTCTTATTGTGTATTTGTTCTCTATCTTCCCATATCCCTTCTCTGATGCTGACATCCTGCAAGTATGAAAAACAAACAATCAAGTTCAGTGACCAAAATTATCACAATAAAGCGACGAAAAGTATCAGGATGAATTACAGGAATTCCCCAAAGGTTTTAAAAGTCGACGAGGATGATTAAGTTTCACTTTTAAAGCCTTGGGGGGGATTCTCTGTAACTTATTCAGATATCAGTTGAAGAACGTACACGGGGTGCATCTTGTTTATTCCTTCGACGCCGCTTCTGCTCTGGTAACTCGAAGCCAGTGCATTCTCAATATCGTTGATTGTTGGACCGGAGTAGATATTGGCGATGAGCTTGTTTCTGATGGTGGATTCTTGAGGAGCAACGGTTTCTGAGACGTCAAGGTCCTTCGAGAGCTCATCTTCAAGCTCATGAAGCCAGTAGCTCTCTGCTTCATCTGTTTCCTCCATTGGAGCTTGCAGGAGGGAGGTAAGGAATGAGGAGCTGTTCTGGGCTTTTTGAAGTCTTTTAAGTTGCGAGCAGCGAGTATTTTATAGGACCGTGGTGCCCTTGTGTTTATATTGTAAATTTGTAATGACCCTAATGGGTTTGGTTTAGATATGGTTTTGGATATTTTCAAGCGGGTAGAAAAAAATACCTGACCCACTTGACTGTCCTTGCAATAGAAGTTGCATAAAAGTCAACTACTAAAGTAACTAAGCTTGGGTGGAATTTTCAACTAATGCAAATTAGAGCTGTTCTATGTGAGCCATCCACAATCCAACAACTAGTATAGGATCCCAAATCCTTGATTCCAATCTTTATCTTAAATAATGGTATTACTTATACAAAGCTTCATTTACTATCATAAAATTATTCCATACTTTTTTTTAGATTTGAGTTATATGCTATCACGGCACCCACAATAAGACTATGGTTTTCCATAAGAGATTTTTTGCCCCTTCCAACTGTACTAAAACTTAAAACTTCAAACATACGGTAAGAGTCGGGGGTTATAATTGTATACTTAACGTGCTCTTGCAGACTGAACATGCTTTTTATGAAATGAATTAGATATATGGGGGGTTTGAGTTTGAGTTGCTTTTGATACCATGCTAAAGTTCCTTTACCCTACACGGCTACACCAACTCTAAAGTTATATCGAGGGCTGAGGGCTACAATTATACTATAAATACTACGATTATATTGGGTAGCTCATTGTGCTTGAGATGCATTTGTAAGACTTATATACCCTAATCTACAGTCCAAGGACAAGTTCACATCTCTGTCAAGCCAAGCAACCACCACACTGTGGAGAGTAATTAGGGCTCCCAAAATAATTTAAGGCACTTGCACCTAATCATTCCCTAAATGAATTATATATAATTTGCTTGTGTTGAGAGTTTTCCAGTGGCAGTTTGGTAAATAATCGCTGAGCGGAGTGAAGACAACAATGATCCTCTGGCTATCATTATTGGATCTGGTGAAGTATGTAGCCGTTCAGTTATTTGTTCTTTTGCTAAGTTTTAATAATTTAAGATGAACTATTAGGAGCTCAATTAAAAACAGATCATTGCCTAATTTATTAGAGAAAAAAATCACAATCTTTTATATAATAGAAAAGTAGCAACACTATATAAAAAAAAATAACATGTCATGATATTTGGGTAGTTATATAAAAAAAATAAGAAAAACGACTAAAATATATCATGCCGGTTTGTGAATTTCATTTTAGCAATCAAAAAGTTTACGATGTTTTCGTCTAATAAAAATAGTTTATGATATTTTTATACGCACTATCAAGATAGTTGGGCGTTGACTTTTTGAGTGATTTTGGCTGTGTTAAAGATGAGAACAAAAGCAATTAAAAGCGTGAGTGAGAAGAGACAAGGGGTTGACCTGTAGATCTAAGTTAGAGGTGAGGAGAGGATGAGAATGCGTTGGCAGAGTCAGCGCACGTGATGGCGGCCAGGGTTGGGTAAACGAAAGGTAACGTTGCTTGGGGCTTGTCCGCACGTGTCACGTGTTGAGCTGTGTAATCGATGGTTGGCCGACCCGTCTACTTTGGGGCTGTTTGGATTAGTTTTTTTTTGGTAAAAGAGGGGAAAGCTGTCAAAAATGTCAGCTTTTTGGCAGCTTTCCCCCAAAATCTGCTTTTTAAGAGCTGATTTTGAGGGAAAGCTGCCAAAAAACTGACATTTTTGACAGCTTTCCCCTCTTTTACCACCTAAAAAACATGAACCAAACAACTAGCCATTATCCATATATGGGCTTGATGGAGTATTGGGCCTAGATTGGAGACACGAGATCAAATAGAGCAATTCCTAGGGCCCGGATTGGTTGTGGCTGTCTCGATCCCATTTTGTTTTTCCACGTCATACCATTTCAGAAAAATCTTTTCTTGATCAATATTATCCTTTACTTTTTTAAATATTTTATTTAAATCTTAATATATTATGATCATAATTATATTTTATTTTAATCTCATGTGAATTACCTATAGCTTAATAATTTTAAAACTATAAGATTAGTAAGTTAAATAAAATATTACAACAATAACAAAAAAACCACAAATTTTTAAAAATTGCACAAAATACTCTCAAATATTCAAAATTACACAAAACACCATCACATATCAAAACTTAAAATAACAAACATGAAATTTAAAAATTAACAGTATCCCTTGAAGAATTTAAAATTTATAATTAACACCCTCAACATTTCAAAAATTATAGAAACACTCTCAAAAGTTTAAATTATAAAAAAAGACCCTCAAAACTTGCGAACAACATAGATGAATTCTAGGCATTACCATCAAACTTGGACATATATTCCTCTTTCTCCATGGTAAAAAGCTCTTTGTCGTATCAATTAAGCCTCAGGGATGATAGAGAAAGATAATACATGAATTATTGTTAAAAAACTAAAAAGTTTCAGAAATTACACACAACAAACTCAATAGTCCAATTATAGAAAACATCCTGACTTTTTCAAAACTTAAAACAACAAGCATAAAACCTAAAAATTAGTAGTAGCCCCCTAAAATTTAAAGTTTGCAATTAACACCCTCAAAGTTTTAAAAATTATAGAAACACTCTTAAAATTTTAAAATTATAAAAAACCATGAAATTTAAAAAATATTTTGATAGACTAAAATTTATTTTCATTGTCTAAATGAAAGTAATTGCATATAATTTTACTCATAAGTTAGAGTATGGAAAATACAGAGGTAGCATTAATTGATAGAAGACTAAATCACTTAAAATTAATAAAAGACTGTAATGTAATAGCTTAGCATTAATTGATTATATTTTATAAACATTATTCACTGATGTTAGTAATATTCACAGGGTAAAAAAATATTATTTGATGTTAATAATATTCACAGGGTGAAAAAATATAAATGAGTTACGTAATGAGAGACTATTAAAAAGTTTAGAGATATCCTTCAACAGGATCTACCTGTTTCATTTTAAATAGAAAAGTGAACAAACTAACCTAAAATTCATAAACTTACATGAATCGCTTGAATTGATATTAATAAGAGACATGCCTATCAAAGAAGTGCCAACTGGTTTCCACTGGAGAACATATTAAACAACTTTTCCCAATCAAGAAGTATTTTTCATAGAAGATACAAGAAATATTAGTAAGTTTTATAAAATTTTATATTTTATTCTTCAATTACTAAAGGAGTCATAAACTTATTATATAATTAGATATAGATGACATTACAATAGCAACTAACGTGAAGCTATTGATCAATTATATTACGAGATATAACAAATCAGACAAGAGGAGGAAAATCACTATAATTGATAAAAAATATCCAAATAATACTTACTTAAGAAGCCAGATAAAAGGTGGGAAATCACTATAATGGATAAAATATATACACATGATACTTACTTATAATAGCTTAAGAAAAAATTAAAATCGATATTTTTTCTTTTTACTATATAGTGACATGCCTCTCTACGTGTAACTTTATTTAAGAACATGGCTATGAAAAAAGGATCAAGATAAGCCCATAATAGTATTATCGGATTTAATGATCTCTAAATATGAATGTAATATATTTCATTATAAAAATTCTTATTAGAGGCCACTAAACATAAAGTTCACTTTATATCCATCTCAAATTTGCTAGGAAAATGTGCACGTCATCGCAATTTTGCCTCGTGTGTGTGTGTGTGTGTGTATCATTCCAAAGATTCAATTAACTAAATAAATAAGAGAATGGTAAGTAAACCAAGAAAAAATCATATAACACAATAAACAACAAATATTACATTTTAAAGTTAATATGCAGGGTTCATTCAGAACAAGCTATCAAGATAAAAGCATCTCCATCAAGACTCTTTACAAATACAATAAAAATTGAACTTAGCGATATTATGCAAGAATTATAACATTCGAAAGAGGTATGATCTTAAAAAACCTACTCTATAATTTACACAATTAAACCTAATTAAAATTTACCAATGTACAGATATGCTATTGCACATTTAAGGTAAAAATAACTATTAATTATAGTAGACTCGAGCTGTGGTTTTACACTTACAAAGGCCGCAACAAGAAGATGGATATAGATGTTAATAACAAGTGTCCAAATGATAAACGTAATAGAATCTCTGATGACTTAGGACATCGCAAAGGTAACACTATTTGATACAGTAGAAACTCTTATTAGGTGCACAACACAAGAATTCATTGTAAAGAAAAAAAATAGGTTAATCCTAACTTAACTTAAATAATGAATTAGAAACACAGAAAAATTATCATAAATAAGAAATTAGTATTTATTCTCATTAATATTTGTTCCCATTCAAATTACTTGTAAAGTTAGATGAGAAGATAAAAAATTAATGAGCCCTTGGAAAGATAATAGCATGAGAAATCCAGGATCAGCCTGATGTCACAATTCACATAGATGATGAAGACATCACTCCAAAATTACTCTAGAAAAAGATAAAAATGGAGAAGACTTGATCTGCTCAATCAAAAATAAAACAGAAATAATAAAAGATAATATTTTCTTAATATTTTATAGAATAGCCTAATTTATTGAGTATAATTAGGAATATTTGGAAGAGATTTTCACTAATTTTTAAATATTTTTATATACTTATTTTGTGGACGTTTTATCATATAAAATTATTATAGAGTTAAAATTAATATTTAGTTTATGGTTTTTAATGAAGTCTATCAATGATTAGGAATAAAATCCATATTCTCTTTTTGTGCCATTTTAACCACTTCTAATTAATTTTTTGTAGGCTTATTGGCTTTAATTATTCCTCTTGCTATTATAATGCTATTTTTAAGTATTTTTTACTTTTGTAACACTATACTTCTATAGGTAAAACTTCCTTTCATGTCGATCCAAATAACATGAATATTCAAACTGGTTTCACGTTGATTTCGTGTCAATTCAATTACCAACATGAAACTTAAAATTAGGTGTAGCCCATTCAAAAAAGGATTAAAGAAGATAAATAATCACAATATTAAAATTTAGAGACATAAGTGAGTAAAAACACTATGCTTTCTC